TCCTGCCTGGCTGATAGCTCTCCTCCCCACCTCCCTGCTCCCAGTGTATCAATAACTGGCACCGACGCCATGGCTACACCAGTTCTCTGGAGCTGCCTGATAATACCCTCAACTTCATCAAGAAGCACCCACTAATGGAGGAGCAGGTGGGGCCTCGGTGGGGCCGCCCCCTACTTGTGAAGAAGGATACTAACTTCACCCATTTGGTGGCCAACCGGGTTACAGGACTTGATGGAGCCACCTATACAGTGCTGTTCATTGGCACAGGTAGGTGCATGGCTGTGTGGGCACGGTTGCTAGCGGCTGGCCAAAGGCCATTGCGCCTAGAGCCACAAGATCTAGAGGTGCCCTTGCCCCCATTTACACCTTCCTTCTCCACTCCTGCAGGAGATGGCTGGCTGCTGAAAGCTGTGAGCCTCGGGCCCTGGGTCCACCTGATTGAGGAGCTGCAGGTGTTTGACCAGGAGCCAGTGGAAAGCCTGGTGCTGTCTCAGAGCAAGGTAGGAAGTCTGGCCCCACATACCACTGTCCTTAGCACCATCCTGTCTTACTCCCTCTGTCTGCCTTTTTTAGCTGGGCTTATGTGCTTGGCCAGTGCAGAGGTAGGGATGGTAGGAACAGGTACATGCACCCAGGCACACCTTTCTCAGCTTGGGGTGGGTTCCAAGAAATGAGCACGATGAAGTTAACATGATTAGCACTGCACAGGACTGTTACATATAGCCAGGTCCTCAGAGTCAGGCTTTGGCAACTGCTTTGGTGTTTTCTTCAGACCCTCCCAGCTGTGCTGTGACTCTGGCTGTATCTCCCCTGATCATGTTGCTGTTGGGCAGACCACCCAGACAACAAGATGTTTATGATGCCCACACGATGTTAGTTTCTTGCCAGCCCCCAGTTGCTCTCTGGTCCCAACCCGCCACTTCTTGACTGTTTCCCAGAATGCATGCATTTTACCTTATGCAATACTCTTTCCTGGCATGTTTGCAGCACCCCTGAACTTTGATTTGTTTGCCTTTTGCCAACTATTGTGATTCAAAATTGTTCCCCAGAACATAGAATAATGGCAGAAAGTGTATGGCTGAATAAACACACAAATTAATATTCACCATTCAAACCAAGGAAAATACCTTGAGAAAAATGTATTTCCTGCACTGTGTATGTAAGTGTGATTACACATCCAGCCTCATGCTTCTGTTGTCCTTTTTAATAAGGTCATGTCTGTAAGGTACTTAGGATTGGGTCTGGCTTATATAAGCCCTCAGTGAGTTCTTTGGCTCTTACATTTCCCTCTTCAAGACTATAGCTTGCCATCTTCCTCCCTCTGGCACCTTTCTCGCTGTATACCTGTAGGAGTCCAGGATCCCCCCATGGTGTGTCCTGGGCAAGCTACTGCCGACTGGTGTGGCCCTGACTGACATTTCTAGGCCCCGATTCTTTTGCAGAAGCTGCTCTTTGCTGGCTCTCGCTCTCAGTTAGTCCAGCTGCCGCTAGCAGACTGCATAAAGTACCGCTCCTGTGCAGATTGTGTCCTTGCCCGGGACCCTTACTGTGCCTGGAGCGTCAACACCAGCCGGTGTGTGGCTGTGGGTGGCCACTCTGGGTGAGTTGGGCTCTGCACAGGCTGAGACCAAGAGGGAGGGTAGGGTGGTTGGAGCTCAGCTGATGACATTCCCGGCATCCCTACCAGATCCCTCCTGATCCAGCATGTGACAATCTCAGACACCTCAGGCATTTGTAACCTCCGTGGCAGTAAGAAAGGTGAGCTGTCTGTATTGTCCCCCTCCCATTGAGATGAGCCCTAGAACCAGCTGTGGGGTTCCTGTACTCACTCTGTTCTTTCTTTCTCTGTTGCTACAGTCAGGCCCACTCCTAAAAACATCACAGTGGTGGCAGGCACAGACCTGGTGCTGCCCTGCCGCCTCTCCTCCAACCTAGCCCATGCCCGCTGGACCTTTGGGGGCCGGGACCTGCCTGCTGAACAGCCTGGCTCCTTCCTCTATGATGCCCGGCTCCAGGCCCTGGTGGTGATGGCTGCCCAGCCCCGTCATGCTGGGGCCTACCACTGCTTTTCAGAAGAGCAGGGGGCACGACTAGCTGCTGAAGGCTACCTTGTGGCTGTAGTGGCAGGCCCATCAGTGACTCTGGAGGCCCGGGCCCCCCTGGAAAACTTAGGGCTGGTGTGGCTGGCAGTGGTGGCCCTGGGGGCTGTGTGCCTGGTACTACTGCTGCTTGTTTTGTCCCTGCGTCGGCGGCTGCGGGAAGAGCTGGAGAAAGGAGCCAAGGCAGCTGAGAGGACCCTTGTATACCCTCTGGAGCTGCCCAAGGAACCCACCAGTCCCCCCTTCCGACCTGGCCCGGAAACAGATGAGAAACTTTGGGATCCTGTTGGCTACTACTATTCGGATGGCTCCCTTAAGATTGTGCCTGGACACGCCCGGTGCCAGCCTGCAGGGGGGCCCCCTTCTCCGCCTCCTGGCATCCCAGGCCAGCCCCTGCCTTCTCCAACTCGGCTTCACCTGGGGGGCAGCCGGAACTCAAATGCCAATGGTTATGTGCGCTTGCAGCTAGGAGGGGACGACCGGGGAGGGCTTGGGCACCCCCTGCCTGAGCTGGCTGATGAACTGAGACGTAAACTGCAGCAACGCCAGCCACTGCCAGACTCCAACCCTGAGGAGTCCTCAGTATGAGTGGGAAGCCCCCACCGCATTGGCCGGGGAGGGGGCAGCATGGGAGGTGCAGCTCCTACTTTTGCACAGGCATCAGCTACCTCAGGGACATGGCATGGGCACCTGCTCTACCTGGGACAGACCCTGCCCAGCGCCTGCCCAGCCATGAGGACCTGCTCTGCTCAGCACGGGCACTGCCACTTGGTGTGGCTCACCAGGGCACCAGCCTCACAGAAGGCATCTTCCTTTCTGTGAAACATGGACACATGGGACCCCAGCAGCCAAAACTTCAAGGCGAAGGTTCAAGATGTGGGTGTGTTTGTGTTTATATGTGTTTGCACGTGTGTGTGTGTGTATGTGTGTCTGTGTACATGTGGCATAGCCTTCCTGTTTCTGTTGAGTCTTCCCAAGTTCTGGGGTCCTCCTGGTGAGCCATTGGAGCTATGAAGGGGAAGGGGTCGGATCACTTTGCCTCTCCTACCCTCATCTGTCCTGAGTGTGGGGCAGTGATGTACATACATATGGGGGTGGGGTGGGCAGGGTGCTGTACCCCTTTAGGGGGAGTGCAGGGCTCAGGGGTGGGCCTAATCCTGCTCCTAGGGCTGTGAATGTTTTCAGGGTGGGGGGAGGGAGATGGAGCCTCCTGTGTGTTTGGGGGGGAAGGGTGGGCAGGGCCTCCCACTTGGCCCTGGTTTGTGGTATTTTATACTTGTCCTCTTCAAATACAGGGCTGGGAAAGGTTGTGTGGAGGGAGGGAAGGGAGAAAGGGTGGGCATGCTGTGGTATTGGCATATCCTCTCCCAGCCCTAGGAGGAGGGCTCCCAACAGTGTAACTTATTGTGTCCCCGCGTATTTATTTGTTGTAAATATTTGAGTATTTTTATATTGACAAATAAAACGGAGAAAATAAAAGAAACTATTACCACTACGAGGATAAAGCTTCAGGAGGTAAGGATCACTGTGTTGAGCAAGGTTGAACTGGACCTCCTCACAGTCTTAGGGCAGCCACCCCTTCTGTGATCCTGCCTGCTGTGCCCCTCTTGGGGGGGACAATCCAGGTCCAGTGTTTTCCCACAGTGGTGGTTTCGGGGCTGGGAACTAGACCATGGCCACAGCCCCTTGGGAGCCAGCCTTGGCTTCTGGCCAAAGGGACAAGTCAGGGCACTGGGAGTCCAAGCAGGGAGAAGAGGAGGGCCCTGACTTCCCAGAACTCTGGGGAGGGATAGTGGGAGTAAGGAGGCTGGAGGAGGGGAACTTACAGAAGCAGCCCAAGGCTGTACAGATGGGTAGTTGCTTGTATAAAGATGGGGCTCCTGACCAGCTTATGGGAGGAAAGATTACTTCCAGTCCCTACCCTCCAGGAATGCTGGTCTTGAGTGCCCCACCAAGCCATTATCCTGGAAAGGGAGTGGTGCAGGGCCCAGCTGTTTGTGAGAGAAACAAGAGGACCCAGCCTGGATTCTGTCATGCACCATTTCTGAATGCCTGTAATGGATTCAGACACATTTCTAACCCATGCCCACCGACAGAAGCAGCACAAGTGAAGTCTGCCCCCGTAGGCTTGATTGTGGTTGGAACAGGCTGCTGCCCTGGGTTTTCTTAGCTGCGGATAGAGGTGTGATCTGCCCACTTGAGCATGGTACACTTACGTCTCCGTGAGAGGACGGTTCCGTAAGCTCAGCGCCCACTGCGGGGGTGGGAGCTTCTGGCAAACCAAGGCCTTCTTCCTGACCTTGGGGCTTATATGGAGTTACCCTAGCGGCAGAACAAGTTCTAGCCTCCGGCCCCTTACTGGGTTTTTAAGGAGTACAGGCAAAGTCTCCAGCAAACTCCCAGTAACGGGAGAGGGGGGCTGGAAACTGCACCACCGCCCTGGGCTATCGGCCTGAGCCTGGGGGTGACGAGTGGGCGGTGAAGGCTCCCCTGCTCTGTGAAGCCTGGTGGGACCAGAAAGGTAACGGGAAAAGCCCGCGAGGTCTCTCAAGGGCTGGGTTCTGGTAAAGGTAACGCAAATGCTCCAGGCCGCGCCTAGCCGCCTGGTCCCCACACCCTACAAGGCCTGGGCCGCCTCGCCCGCCCTCTACGATGTTCGGCTCGCTTGACCCAGCTCGGCCGCACCTCCGCCCTCGGCTTAGCCTCGGACGCCCTCGCGTGGCGGCCTCGGGACCCTCCCGGCGCAACAAATCCCGCCCCGCTTCTGTGATTGGTTCTCGAGCCAAGGCCTGGATGTTTGATTGGTCGGTTCCGGCTAGGTGACGGGACTAGGAAGACAACTGAGGACGCTGAATGGTCAGACTCCGGACTGCGAAGCAGGCGCTGCGTCTGTCCTCCCGCCCTCCGAGGCCTCTCTGCCCATCCACAGCCGATCGGAAGGCGCGGAGGGCGGATGGCAGCGCCACGGCCCTGTGCGGACGGGCCCTGCTGTTCCCACCTCAGTGCAGTATCCGGCGTGCAGCAGACCCTGGAGGAGATGGACTTCGAAAGGGGTGAGGCGGCTGTGCAGCCCTGCCGGCTCTCCCCAGGCCCGCGGCTGGGCCTTTGGGGCCCTCACCGACGTGGGCAAAAGGACCCGGGATTCCGAGCCTAGGGCGGGGAAGACGGACCGGGGCCTGCAGCTCTAGCGTTACTGGGAGTTTGCCAGGGACCTGGCATGAACTTGGCCATTAGACACTCCGTCTCGCGTGCAGACGGAGAAACTGACGCATTGGTTTCGGTAACTTTTTCAAATGGTGTGGTTGGGCCTGACTCCTCACCTTACCTGGGACACAAGGCAGGTCAGGTGTCAGAGAGGGCCCAAGACAATAGAATCTGCATTTGGGTATCACAACCACCCCCGAGGGCATGCAGCCTCAGAGGAGTGGACAAGCCCTTGAGAGGCCCGGTGTGTCAGGCAACGTACTAGGTTTAGATGTGGCAAAAAGCTTCCCACCGAAAGGCAGGGATCTGTGAAGCTCAGAGAGGCTACTCTTTTGATCCAGATTATACTGAAATTATGCTGCTGATAGGGACAGAGAAAAGCAGGAAATTTAAGATTCCTCTTCTCCGTGTTTGGAACCACTGTGATGACATGCTGTATCATCTCTCCGTGCAGAGGGAGCTTATGTAATGGTAATAACGCTGTCATCAATTGCTAGGTAGATGCTCCCGCTTTATATGCATTTGTATTTATTACTAGGTAATGGTTCTGGCATCTGCCGTCTTCCTCTGCCTCTCCTGCTACCCTCCTCTGTGCGACTGTAGTGGTTCCTTCAGTGGGTCGTTCAGCTTTCACTGTTGCCTTCCTGCGGTGTTTTGTACTCTCCACAAAGCAGCCGGAGTGGCTTTTTGATATTAGGAAATCAGAGTATTCTTTATTGTGGCCTACAGAGAGCTCTTTGCACCTAACCCATGCCTACCCTACTTCTCTACCCTCATTTTATTTCTTATCCTTTTCTTCCCTCAGTCAATATGTTTCAGCCATACTGGTCTTGTTTTGGTTTCTCAAGTATGCAAGACCATTTCCTGAGTTGTCCCATCTCCTTAGAATGAACTTCCTACAACCATTAGGCTAGCTGATGCCTTTCCTTCAGATCTGAGCTCAAATGTCATCTTTTCAGAGAGACTTTCCCTCAATACCCCCATTCTAGTACTTCTCAACTGGGGTCAGTTCTGCCATTTGAGGGACTTTGGCAATGTCTAGAGACATTTTGGTTATCACAGCTGGGGAGAATACTATAGATATCTAGTAGGTAGAGACTAAGGATGCTATGTACATCCTGCAATACCCAGAACAGATCCCTACAACAAAGAATTATCTGGCTCAAAATGTCAATTGTAGTGCTGCTGTTGAAAAAGAAATGTTGGGCGGTGCCTGTGCCTCAGCGAGTAGGGCGCCAGCCCCATGTACCAAGGGTTGCGGGTTCGAACTCGGCCCTGGTCTAACTGCAACAAAAAATAGCCGGGCATTGTGGCGGGCACCCGTGGTCCCAGCTACTCAGGAGGCTGAGGCAAGAGGATCGCCTAAGCCCAGGAGTTGGAGGTTGCTGTGAGCTGTGACACCATGGCACTTTACCAAGGGCAACAAAATGAAATTCTGTCTCTTAAAAAAAAATAAATAAAAGAGGGGCAGCGCCTGTGGCTCAGTGAGTAGGGCGCCAGCCCCATATACCAAGGGTGGCAGGTTCAAACCCGGCCTCAGCCAAATTGCAAAAAATGAAAAATAGCTGGGCTTTGTGGTGGGCACCTGTAGTCCCAGCTATTGGGGAGGCTGAGGCAAGAGAATCACGTAGGCCCAGGAGCTGGAGGTTGCTGTGAGCTGTGATGCCATGGCACTCTAAAAATAATAATAAAAGAAAGAAAAAGAAATATTGCCCTATCCAAAGTTAGGTCCCTTCTGCTCTAGGTTGCTTACATCTTGGTTTTTTGTTTTGTTTTTGTTTTTTTGAGGCAGAGTCTCACTATGTCACTCTCAGTAGAGTAGGTAGAGTGCTGTAGCATCACAGCTCACAGCAACCTCAAACTCTTTTTTGTTTTTGAGACGGAGCCTTAAGCTATCCCCCTGGGTAGAGTGCCATGGCATCACGCTCACAGCAACCTCCAACTCCTGGGCTCAAGCGAGTCTCCTGCCTCAGCCTCCCAAGTAGCTGGGACTACAGGCGCCCGCCACAACGCCCGGCCATTTTTTGGTTGCAGCCATCATTGTTGTTTGGCGGGCCCGGGCTGGGGATTCGAACCTGCCACCTTAGGTGTATGTGGCTGGCGCCTTAGCTGCTTGAGCCACAGGCGCCGAGCCAACCTCAAACTCTTGGGCTTAAGCCATTCTCCTGCCTCCGCCTCCCAAGTAGCTGGGACTACAGGCGCCTGCCACATGCCCGGCTATTTTTTCCATTTGTAGCTGTCATTGTTGTTTGGCAGGCCTGGGCTGGATTTGAACCTGCCAGCTCAGGTGTATGTGGCTGGTGCCTTAGCCGCTTGAGCCACAGGCGCCTAGCCATTTTCTTTTAACTTTAAAATGCTTTTTTTATTTTTGATATTCAGTTATTTCACTATACTAGATTTGTTGTTATTAATCCTTGAGATTTAGTGTGGTTTTTCATCTTAGGACTCATGATTGTCTTTAATTCTAGATAATTCTTAGATGTTATCTCTTCAAACACTACTTTTTTCTGTATCCAGTTTCTTTCTCCCTCTCTCTTTTTTTTTAAACTCTTTTTCCATAAATGTTGACACATTCCGTCTTCCTTGTTTCTTTACTACTCTTTTTTTAGAGACAGAGTCTCACTTTGTTGCCCTCCATAGAGTGCTATGGTGTCACAGCTCTCAGCAACCTCTAGCTCTTGGGCTTAGGCAATTCTCTTGCTTCAGCCTCCTGAGTAGTTGGGACTACAGGCACCCACCACAACACCCGGCTTGTTTTGTTGTTGTTGCAGTTTGGCCAGGGCTGGGTTGGAACCCACCACCCTAAGTATATGGGACTGGTGCCCTACTCACTGAGCCACAGGTGCTGCCATGTTTCTTTACTATTTTTTAATATTTTTCTCTAATACACACAAAAAAACTACAGACCAATATCCATGATCAACATAGATGTAAAAATTGTCAACAGGATACTAGCAAACTGAGTTCAACAACACATTAAAAAGATTATTCACTGCAATATATTTTTCTTATCATTCTGTGCTGCATTCTGAATTCTAAATCACTAATTCTCTTTTTGATTGGGTCTGCAGTACTATTTAACTCATCTGGTTTTGTTTTGTTTTGTTTTGTTTTTTGAGACAGAGCCTCAAGCTGTCCCCCTGGGTAGAGTGCCGTGGCATTATAGCTCACAGCA